CATATTGTAAATCCGCTTTTAATAGTCATGTAACTAGTGGCAACCACACCTACCTATGCCCTTGTAGATGTTAAAGATTTCATTTTCTTTACGAGTTTCTAAGAATAATGCAAAAGAATAATAACCTCTAGCTCCACCTAGAACTAGCTGCCTGATAGTTTGATGCTGAAACTAAATTTAACATAAAGATTAATGCATGATATAGCACGGTCTCGTCACCCAACCCCTCCTCCAAAAGCGAAGGGGTGGGGCACAAGATTATACATGATCATTTTATGATCAATAAAACTCACTTCATCAAGATCAAAGGAATGATCCATTACTTTATCAACATAATTATATTGAACTAAACGACATCTCTCAATAGGAATATGAGGAGCTAATTCCATTAACTGATGAGGAGAAAAAAATGAACAAAAATAAATTAACTAAAACAATGAACCTCATAAGCTTTATCCAGTACACAGGGTAGTAATTCATCTTTATGTACTTTAAGTATTTTCCTCACTAATTCACCAGTAACAGGATGATTACAATATAAATCAATCTATAAAATAAAACCATAGATAGATAGTACATACTTTGTATGATCTTACTTCATATGGTTTTTCTTCAGTTTTTTGTTTCTTTTCTTTCTGTCTCTTTTCCTCAATCTCTTTCAAATCTAAAAACAGCAAATGATGAGGCACACATCATCAATATAACCTCTAATATCTTTTATAATCTTCTCATTGTGTTCTCTTTCAGTAATTAGTTCCATATTCATTAATGTTATTCTTTCTTGTAATTTCTCCCATTATTCTTTTATTATCTACTAATGGCTGATAGTCTGGACTTGTCCTTGCTTTAAGATGAAATTTGAAGTCATCAATTTCAAAAGACATTCCTCTTCTCACTCTGCTAGCAGCTTTATAATTAATTATATAATTATTATTATAATTAATAAACTACTCTAACCTGAATCAGTATTACTAGCAAGTGATCTCAAATACTCAATCTTCATTTTTGATAATTTGTTTGGCAAATCTTTTATCTCATTAAATTTAGACCTCAATACAGTCAACTCTTCATAAAGTGGTTCTTCCTATTAATAATTATTATAATTAATACAAGCTAGTGAGATATACCTCAACTTCCTTAACTGATTCAGTATCACTTTGAACAAACAATAAATCATCTTCCTAATTTGGAAACAAATGAGATTTCAAAACCATTCTCTGAATGTTACACTAGCTAACTTCAGGTAATGTCAATGCTTTCACCATTAATAGTTCTTGCTGCAACTGACTTGTTTCCTATTATAAATACAAAATTGCATTGTAGTCTGCATGATAGTATAATATACCTTCTCTTTGCTACTGATAGCATCTCTTAGTTTATATTCAGCTTCTTCAAGTATCATATAAGAAATAACCTGTAAAAAAAGAAATCAGTCATATTACTGAAAATGCATACAGTCAAGTACATGTAAAACTCAAACTATATTTTATCACTGACCTCAGTATGTTGTAGTAAGTCTTGATCCTTTTCTTTTAGTTCCTATACAATACAATATTCATAAAACAATATTCAATTATTCATATTATGTACCTTTTGTCTAACATTTTGTCTCCTCCATAATGTTAAGTTACCAATAGTCAGTTTCTTTAATCCTTGTCCCATTAGCATATGAATATTCTCTATCATCCTCAATACAGTAAACCCAACATCAGAGAAAGGAAAGGAGCAAGTGACAGTTATGGAATTACCAGATTCTATATACTTAATGATCAGCAATTTATTAGACACTTTTGATAAGATGCCTTTGATATCCTCCAGCATATGTTCCTCAGGCTCCCAGTCAAAGGTGAAAGTAACTGTTTGGCTTTGAAGGTGAGAAACAGAGTCGAATCTTTTTTCCAGACAAAGACTAACTCTGATTAAATTGTAAAATTCCTTTAACTCTGTCTTATATGCTTTAATGTGTTCCTCTGCCTCAGTGATCTTCATTTCCTCCACTATACTATGGAGAAGTGCAACATTGGTCAGTGAACACTCATCTTTAACATGACGAAGGATACTTGAGATATCGCAACACTGCTCTACTTTTTTACTAAGACTGCTGTAACAAGACAAGAATTCCTTGATGTCATCAAAGTCTAAATTTCTCTTTAAAATTTTGCAAACATTGTACAACATCCTTGTGTAAGAGATTCTTATTGAACTGAACTCTTCAATTAAATGCTTAGGAACAGGAACTTCAACTACAACAAATATTTCCACTAATAACGCAGTAAAAAACTTATGCTATACCTTGAGATAAAGGTTGCAATGATGAATTATTAGTAGCTTCAGTATTAGTGCTAGCTATACAAATAAAGGTATATAGGTCTTAATATTGTGAAAAAAAATGATACTATTGGCAAGCATAAATATATACCAGATTGAGGTTGTGTTGCATTGGTCTCATCAGTGCTTGATGTACTGTCTATTAATATAATAAATGCACATGTATTATCAAATAATAATTATTACCTTGTGGAACTACATCATGATCTTCAGGAACCACACCCACTTCAGGAGTAGGAAAATACTTAACTAAAAACATTAACAACAAAGCATAATGTAACAACACCATTATTATTATAATACTCACTAATATCATCCAGTATAGTTTGTCCCAGTGATACATTAGTACTGATTGTACACAATGCATTAGCAAATGTATGTAAACTGTTGGGATCAGTTTGAACAGCTTCTTTGACAGCAGTTAATAGAGCCTCACGTTGATTAGGAATAGAGGGACTAGCTGACACCACTCTACTAACTGCTTCTTGTGTTAACATACGCTCAGCATAAAGTAACCAAGCAATACTGACAGGATCACAAAGAGACTGAGACAGGACAGTATGACGATTATTAAAAATATTAATAAGAACCTGAGGCTCTATGATAGAAAATGCAATGATTATAGTTACATACAGTTATGGTTGACTCACTTAACTTCTCAGCTACAGCAGTTTCATTCATAGATCCTAGAGCATCTGACAGTGAGTTCAAGTTAGCTCCTCCTCTACTGTCAACATTATCAGCTCTGTGTAGCCAATAAGATAGGCACTCTGTCAAGCATTGATTCACATCACCACGATGCTTCATTTCAATGGCATCCAGAGTATCTTTCAGTAGACCTAGTCTCAGTCCCAGCTCTTGCCATTTTGTTCTTTGAAAGTTACATTTCTTCAATAAGTCAAGGACATCAATCAAGTCACCAATATCTGTAGGTAAACATCAAAAGAGTGGATTTAGAAGTAAGAATGTACCTAGACAAGTTTGATTAGTGGCCATCTCTGTACAGTCTTTTCGCCAAATGCAGATCACGTGAGAATTTATTTTTCCCTTGACGTCATAATGGCGGGAAAGTAATGGCTGGCCTTGTGTTGCTTTTGTGCAATTGATATGATGCTGGATGGTTTATAGTTCTATATAACAGCCTCAAACTGAAAGCAAGGATGTGTAGAATCATTAGGTTAGTTTTTTGGTTGAAAATTTAGCTATACTGGAATGCAATGCTGTAAATTGCATCACCCTGTCCATGATGAGTAGCGCTCATGGACTTCTGCAGCTACATATTACCTGCACTACTGCAAAACTAATAAGACATTGGTTGGCAGGATAAATAGTTACGTGTACAAGTACTTATTATATT